GAAGAATGTAAAACGCAGTTGCCTCTGTTGAAGTGCTGGCATTTTGTTTCATCAAATATTTTCTGTTTTATCAGTTTTCAATAACATTGCTGGAGTTTCTAATTTCCAGCCTTAGAATCTCAATTTATTATTTTGTGTTATTTGGATTCCATTATTTGAGGAGAATCTGTTATTTCAAATTGTATAAATTCTCAATTACATTGAAGTAAAATATCTTCTTTCTCTCATATTTTTTAATCTTTTAAATTTGTTTCTGCTGAAACTCTCATTAATTTAGTTTTTTTTAATCCTTTTAAATTTGTTTCTGCTGAAACTCTCATTTAATTTAGCAGATACATTGTTTCAACAGTGATATCAGAGCCACATGGTTTTTCGGGACCTGCCTTTTAAACATTTAAACCTTTTTATATTTCTCTCAAGTTTTGACAATTTCCATATTAACCATTTACACACTACTTTTAAAATTGGAAAACCAATTAATTGACAATAGCTATTTCCTATAATTTATTAATCTAAACATGCAATTTCACTCGACAACATAAACTAATATTGTTATTTGTTGATAGGAATAGAATGACGACTAAATTTTGTTTAGAGATATTAAAAAAATCATATTTGACATTTTTAGCTAATTTGATTCGTGAACCTGCATATTTGTTGATAGGATTAAAAAAAAGTCTATTTGGCATTTTCAACAAATTTAACATCTGAACTAGTTTAGAATGATTAAATTTAGCTCATAATTCTTCACTTGCAATGTGAAAATTTTTATATAGGCCTATTAAAACTATAATTTGAATCAGTTCGTATAATTTATTAAAAAAAATAATTAAATGTTGATAGAGGAAAAGGATATATGAAGTATATCTCTCTTATCTTAATTTATAATTTTGAGTTCATGAATATGTATTAATTTAAACATTTTAAAACTGAACTTTATTACTGGATTTATTATATATTAAATCCATGCATGTACTAATTTAAACATTTTAAAACTGACCATTATTACTGGATTTATTATATATTAAATCTATGTCTCATATTTAACGGATTAAAGTTATATTATACGTTTAGTAAATTTACTATATATGTGTTCAAAGAAATTATCTTTTTATGAATTTTAAAGTTCCTTTCAAAAGTAATGGAAAAGTTTTTGATCTTGGTATTTTTAAGTAAAAAAAAAGTGAACAAAAGCTGCGATATCGAATTGAAGCAATCCATTCATTTGTAGAAATCGAAACAAGTTCAGGACTAAATAGACTTAAAAAGTCAAATATAACCTTTTTTCAATACTACTAAATAAATTCAAAGATCAAATAGGTCTTTATTTCTTGTTGGCGATGGTTAATTAAACAAATAATATATTCGATGATTATAAATGCATAAATTTTAGAAATTTTCCAATTCTATCACAAAAATTATATATGAACAAAGTAACTATCAAGCTAGCTTTGACGGACTGTTGTCTACTATAAACTCCAATTTGAAACGCGTATAGAAAGCATTGACCCCTTCCTTCCAAGTTTCAATCAACAAAAATATTATATTGCAATTTTGATTTTTAACGAAAAATTTGCAATCCAATTCATAAATTTGTTTCAGTTTGCAATCCAATTCATAAATTTGTTTCAGTATAAAATGGTGTTGAAATTGAAGAATGACTTATTAATTTCATTCTCTTTTACTATACAAGAAACTAAACAAACAGCAAAAATGGTTAAAACGGCATCATTTTCATATGTAATCTCTATCGTCATTTTCCTCATTTTGCGGGCATCTTATAATATTGTTGCTGCTCAAACAACTCAAGTCTCCAAAACCTATAAGGCTCTCTCCTCCCTCTTTTAAATTGAGTCTGATCATTCTATTTGAGAATAATTATTATTTATATGAAATTAATTGGAATTATAATTATTATAATTATTATTGAATTGTTCTAAATAATATTAGTATGTTGAAAAAATATTTGATACTTCATCAAAACATTAATTTCAATTAGAAACATTATAAACATTATTTTTTCGAGAGACAAGTGAAATTAAATTTCTTATTTATTGGTAATTGCATATTGAAAAATAAAGAGAAGCTTAGGGTTCTTTGAAGAACGTAACGAGTTGCCTCCAGGTGATTCCAAATGAGGAGGACAAGGCATAGAAGTTCTCTGGCTATAGACCGTTTTTAATGCATTTAGGCCAGGGTGGATAAAAAAATTCAAAGAAATGAGAATCAGTGGGAATTAAGAAAAATATATTATTTTAAAGAGTCATTTTTCTGGTAGTTAATATGCATATAAATAAATATTTTGTTAACAAGTTCGATATTGTGTATTTTGTTAATATAAAAAAATACATAAAAAACTTAATTTAAAAAAAAAAATATGTAAGCACTATAAATAAATGCTTGCTTCAATTTTTTATTTTGCAGTTTATATTTTCACCCTAATTTTATTAATTTATCTATTTTATTTTTGAAGATCAATTTTCTTTTCCTTTAAAACAATATAGTAGGATAACTTTGTTAATTCTGAACAAATTAAGACAAACTTCATTAATTATAAACAAAGAGAGACAGGGGCTACGTTTATTTTTATAAAATAACTTGCAGGAAAATATTTTTCACAATTTTCCGTTGTTTAGGATGTTTAGTAAAATAAGTCAACGGAAAATATTTTGCTGATCAAAGGAAAATTAAGTCATTTTTTAAGGAAAATAACTTTTCATTTTCGAGAGAGTATAACATTTTTTCGAACATTAGCAAACCTTATAAATCCATATTTTTTAATTTATTAATCATCACAGTCACTACCACCGATCACCATTATCACCGATGACCACCACCGGCCACTGGCCACCAATGGCTTTTATAATTTACATTTTTTTTTTTTGCATTCTTTTCGTATTTAAGAATAAAATTTTTAAATTTTAAAATTTCTATTATCATTAATATTTTTTATGGTCTTATGAGATAAAGACTTTAATATTTTTAACTAATTTTTACTATTACAACCAAACAACGGAAAATAAGTTATTTGGAAAATATTTTTCAAGAAAAATATTTTTCATGAAAATATTTTTTAAGAAATTATTTTCCTACAAATTATTTTACGGAAAGAAACGGAGTGTAAATTATTATGTAAAGAAATTATCATAGATAAATAGATAAGGTTAATCAAATAAGCATAGACAGACAATAACAATGATGCCTTAATCCTAGATTATTTGGAATTTAATATATGAATCTTGTCTTCGTAACTTGATGTCTTCCTTCAAATTTGGAGGAAGAGAAATGAAAAATGATTTTCTGGTGAAAGAACATGTCGATATAATGTGCTCTTTTTCTTATTTTATTTTTATTTTTGTTTTTCTTTACTGATTAAGTAAATTATAAAAGAAAGAAACAAGAGGGATTAATCTATAACATTAATATGAAAATGTAGACTAAAAAAGAAGAAATAAAGGTTAAAAGAGGCAACTGAAATAGATACTAGCTAAAATTTAGCTTTAAATCATTCAACTGAAAATACTAGCTAAAATTTAGCTTTAAATCATTTAATTAGGATAATTTATTATGTGAATAAAATTTTCAGTTTATAACTTAGAGAATGTTAAAGATGCTAAACTTTAAAATAAGAATCCAATGGACATCAGTAATGAAGATTGATATAGATTATATATGCATGCATGCATGCACAAATACTCTCAAGAGAGATTAGTCCAAGAGTATTTAACTTTGGTCTTTCCAAAAAAAATAAAAAAATGCAATAATATTATCGAAGAGGCTCCCACAAATATATTAGAATTAAAGCAGATTTACTATAAATATATTAGAATTAAAGCAGATTTACTATAAACTAATGAAATATATGGTATTTAGTTTTTTCCTTCTCTTAATTGAATTTTTAGATTTTCTTTAATATTTAACTATTATAATACGAATGTTGACTACTGCAATACACGGACACGCGAGAGGCTTAATGTTTCCACGTTTCGGAAACAGAAACGGCTCGGAAATGTATTTAGTCTGTTTCCGTAAATACTGAAAATTGGACACTCATTTTTCCCTCTCTGGAAATGTTTCTTGCATTAAAGGAAAAAAAATCAGATTTCAAATCCAAATCAAATTTGGATGAAATATTATTTTTGGACACTAGAACAAAACCCCTTCTTACCACAAGCTTACCACAAGTTTTGAAATAATATGGGCCGTTTGCAAATCCCTATTTGGGAAAGGATAAATAATCATATTTTTTAATTTCAATTTCAATATTCAAACCTCAAATTTAACAGAATTTCATTATCTTTTTCTATTTTGACATTCGAATATTTTGTTTTTTTTTCTTTATTGAGTATGGAACTTATAAACATTTTTCTCTCTTTTGGATATGATTTAATGATTTATTTTTAGAAAACTTTATCTGTGGTTGATTGTATTTTAAAAATTATAAACGAACTCTTTCTAAATTATTTTTATATTTATTCCTATATTTTTAAACTTTATGAATAAACCCCTATATTTTTTATATTTACGCGTTTCCCCCACATTCATGTTTCTTATATTTTTCAAAATATCGTTTCCCTGTGTCCGTTTCCGTGTTTCCCTGTTTTCCTGTTTCCGTGTCCGTGGATCATAGTTTGACTATTTGACATGATGCTCAAGTATTTGTACATTTCTCACTTTCTTGATAATTTTGCCTATTTTTTGGAATTGAATTGCCTATTTTTTGCGAATTGAAATATTCACCTAACCATGATTTCCAAATCATTTCTTTTTTAACATTGATTAAAGAATATTACGCGTTATGGATACTATTATCTGCTGCGACATACTCCACAATTTATGTATTTTCTTTTTAGCATGTTTCTTATAAGATATATCATTTTGCAAGAGTTGGCCGACAACATTATTTTTTACAAAAACTTTTCCACTGCAAGTGAAGTTCAAACCGTTATAAACAAATGAAACGCAAGCAGATACAAAACACAACCATATGATCATGATAATTTTGACAAAATATATTTAATTATCTATCTCACTGTATTTTCAAATGCTTATATATATATATATATATTGTCATACACGAGACAAGTATAAATTCGTAATTTGTAACTTGTAAAACCCGTGCATTTATTTTCTATAGGTATGACAAAATATCACCCATGGCTGCCAGGGCCACCTGGTACGCGACCACCTGGTCCGCCGTGGTGTGAACCATGATCGCCCACTCCAATTTTACTTTCTCCAATAACCCTTGGATTCTCTTTATTTTCATCTGCAACTGCCACTAAATAAGAAATTGATGGTTTGAATATTTAGTATCTTTACATCAAAAAGTAAAAATCAGTATTATTACTAGAACTAGAACTAGAAGTAGAAGAAAAAAGAGAGAGCCTTACTGGTTTTGGGGACTCGAGTTGTTCGAGCAATAGCAGTATTATAAAATGCAAACAAAATGAGGAAAAAGATTGGGAACGCATAGGAAGCCATTTTAGCCATTTCAATTACTTTCTTCTATTAAAAAAGAAGAGTAATCACGGCATATCAATTCCTTCATGACCATTATATACTCTAAAAGTTTCAAGCATTGGGCCTTAACTAGAGATCAGTTTTTGTGGAAATATTGCAATATGATGTTAAGTTTGTTGACTTCAGAACTTTGAGTACACACCCAACGGTCAATATGTTAAGTTTGTTGACTTCAGAACTTTGAGTACACACCCAACGGTCAATGCACGCTAGTTTGAAAGTTACTTTAGGAGAATTTTTTTAAAAATTAGTACTTTTTTTTTTCTCCCAATAAATGGTTAGAATTACCTTACGTTAAATTAAAAAATTATTTTTAATTGATTTAGCATATGCATCAGTATTTCACGTTACTTCAATTTTGTTTATGATATTGAAAAACATGATTGAAGGTCCATATAATTCAAAATTTAATTATATTGGATTGATGGACTTGTCTAGATCAAGTATATGAATTTATAAGTATTTATTGAAATGAGGTTATTTTTCGCTATGCAATGAGAAAATAAAAAGAGATAAAATATATTTGAGTGAAAGATTTAACTACATCCGGCATATGGATCCACTTATAAACTAAATAAATTATAACTAGTATTTTAGTTCAAACAAATGTATTTTTTAGCGTACACCAAGGAAAAATGCACAAAACAGTAAATTTTTTTTTTTAAAAATTTATTGGCGTGACCCCAAGCCCACGTAAATAAGAAATTTTTCATATTCAAATGAAGATTAGATTTGCCAAGACTTAATCTATAAATCCATCAATGAAAATAAAGATTTGTTTTTTCAAATGATTTTATAATCTAAATCTACCTCTTTATATATAATATATATAAATATTAAGCTAATGTTTAATAAGTTGGTAATAAAAATGTTTAATAAGTTGGTAATAAAACATAATGTAATGTAATTATAAATATTTCTAATGTAATATTTAAATTAAAAATGTCAATTAAGTGTGATGTGATTAATTTTTTTCATGTCAATTAAGTGTGATTAATTTTTTTCATGTCTATTAAAGATTATGCGGTAATTGAGTATCAATTTCATCATTTAAAATTAATTTTACCAATATAAAATTGGTGTTAAGTTTAGAATTTGAAAGTAAAACCATGATAGAACTGAGTTTTTGAGTCATTTTGTGAAGAAACAGTTTAAATTCAGAATTGTCACATGTCATCTTTTTTACTCAATCAATGTTCAAACCCTTGACTTAAATTTGCTAAAAACAAATAATCTCAATCCATAAAATATTAACCCTTTTATTTTATTTTGGTAGGGCATAAAATGAGGTTAGGGCATAAAATGAGAGAAACAATAACAATATTAATGATGGGTGATAATATAGCATATGAGATCATTGGTCACAATGGCACGCCACCACCCGCTGCCGCTTGTCGTTTCATGGAATCGTTTCATGGAAATTAAAGGCTATGATTGTTTTTGGTGACCCGGGCCAGATGGAGGTGAATCGCGTTTATCTGGATAGATTTTAATTTGATGGGCGATGTGAATATTCCTTTGCTGCTCCTTCCTCTTTTCTGCCCGCAAACAGCTAATGTTAACAACTTCACTATAAATTATTCAATAAAGAGCATTAAATTCTACTTTAAATGTTATAATCAATTACACTTTATTTTAGAATTACTAAATTTTAGAATTACACTTTATTTTATAATCACTTTGGAAATCCTAGTGCAGTAGCACGTGCCCGCCACGCCCTAGGATTGCATCTCTCTTGTAGCACGGGCGTGCGCCCTAGCACGGTCAAGCCGTGCTAGGCTCTGGAAGTCCAGGGCATATGCAGCACGGGCGTGTGGCTTGGCACGGCTTGGGCGTGTCAGAGTCTGACTCTCTGCTTAATTTTCCTTGGTTCTTAACATGGGCGTGCTGATTAGCACGAGTTGGGCGTGCTAAGATAATTTGCTTCATTTTTGTCATTTTCTTGTGCAAAAACTCTACAAATTATCTCAAGATCAAGTGAGTTGTGTTTCAAGAAAACTTTTAAATAAAAACATAACATAATTTAATAAAAACTAATTTAAATAAATTAAAAATACTAAAAATCTTAATAAAAATTACATTAAAAATACTATAAAAATAACACTCTCATTCATTGTCTTTTTCCATTTTGACATTCGAATATTTTGTTTTCTTTTTTCTTTATTGAGTATGGGACTTATAAACATTTTTCTCTCTTTTGGATATGATTTAATGATTTATTTTTAGAAAACTTTATACTTATAAACATTTTTCTCTCTTTTGGATATGATTTAATGATTTATTTTTAGAAAACTTTATCTATGGTTGATTGTCCTTTAAAAATTATAAGCGTACTCTTTCTAAATTATTTTTATATTTATTCCTATATTTTTAAATTTTAAAAATAAACTCCTATATTTTTTATATTTACGCGTTTTTTCCACATATCTATTTTTTATATTTTTAAAAATATCGTTTACCCGTGTCCGTTTCCACGTTTCCCTGTTTTCCCATTTCCGTGTCCGTGCATCATAGGTTGACTATTTCATATGATGCTCATCTATTTGTACATTTCTCACTTTCTTGATAGTTTTGCCTATTTTTTGGAATTGAAATATTCACTAACAATGATTTTCCAATCATTTCTTTTTTAACATTGACTAAGAATATTACCGTTATGGATATATTATTGCTCCGATATATTCACAATTTATGTATTTTTTTACATGTTTTTATAGATATATCATTTGTAAGAGTTGACAGGACAACATTATTTTTTGAAAAATTTTCTATGCAAGTGAAGTTCACATTCTAACAAATGAGAGCAAAGGAGATACAGTAAAACACACCCTTTATCAAGATCATGATAATTTTGACAAAATATATTTATTTTCAAATGCTTACATATATATATATATAGTTATTTTCAAATTGCTTACAGTATATATATAATATACTATACTTATATATTATCATAAGTATATATATATATATATATATATTATCATACACGAGACAAGCATAAATTCGTAATTTGAAACTTGTAAACCGTGTGCACTAATTTGGAACTTGTACACAGTATGCACTTATTTTCTATATGTATGAAAAAATATCACCCACCGCCGCCTGGTCCGCCGGGGTGTGAATCATGATCGCCTGTTCCAGTTTTACTTTCTCCAATAACCCTTGGGTTCTCTTTATTTTCATCTGCAAGTACCACTAAATAAGAAATTGATGGTTTGAATATTTAGTATCTTTACATAAAAACATAAATATCAGTATTATTAGTAGAACTAGAACTAGAAGTAGAAGAAAGAAGAGAAAGCCTTACTGGTTTTGGGGACTCGAGTTGTTTGAGCAATACCAGTATTATAAGATGCAAATAAAATGAGGAAAAGGATTGGGATCGCATAGGAAGCCATTTTAACCATTTTTGATTACTTTCTTCTATTAAAAGAGAAGACTAATCACCATTATATACTCCAAAAGTTTCAAGCATTGGGCCCTAACCAGATTTTTGAATACTTTCTCTTATTAAAAGAGAAGTTTTGATTACTTTCTTCTATTAAAAGAGAAGACTAATCACCATTATATACTCCAAAAGTTTCAAGCATTGGGCCCTAACCAGAGATCAGTTTTTGTGGAAATATTGCAATATGATATTAATTTTGTTGACTTTAGAACTTTGAGTACATACCCAACGGTCAATGCACGCTAGCTTGATAGTTATTTCAGGAGAATTTTTCAAAAAATTATTACCTTTTTGTTTTTTTCCCAATAAATGGTTAGAATTACCTTCATTTGAATCAAAAAAATTATTTTTAATTAATTTAGCATATGCATCAGTATTTCATGTTACTTCAATTTTGTTTATGACATTGAAAAACATGATTGAAGGTGTGTATAATTAAAAGTTGTTGATTATATTGGATAGATGGACTTATCTAGATCAAGTCTATAAATATATAAGTATTTATTGAAATGAGGTTATTTTTCACTATGCAATGAGAAAAAGAAAAAAGAGATAAAATATATTCGAGGGAAAGACTTTCCTACACCCCTAATATATGAATCCATTTATAAACCAAACTAATTATAACTAGTATTTTGGTTTAAATAAATGTATTTTTTTGGCATACACCTTGGAAAAAATGCACAAAACAGTAACATTTTTTAAAAAATAAAGATATGTTTTTTCAAATGATTTTATAATCTAAATCTATTTATAATCTAAATCTTCTCTTTATATATATACTATATATAAATATTAAGCTAATGTTTATATATATAAATATTAAGCTAATGTTTAATAAGTTAGTAATAAAACATGATGTAATGTAATAATAAATATTTTTAATGTAATATTTAAATTAAAAATATCAATTAAGTGTGATGTGATTAATTTTTTCATATCTATTAAAGATTATGCGGTAAGTGAGTATTAATTCCATTATTTAAAATTAATTTTACAAATATAAAATTGGTGTTAAGTTTAGAATTTGCAAGTTAAACCATGATAGAACTGAGTCTTTGAGTCATTTTGTGAACAAACAGTTTAAATTTAGAATTGTCGTATGTCATCTTTTTTACTCGATCAAAGTTCAAACCCTTGACTTAAATTTGCTAAAAACAAATGGGGTAAACAGCAAATCTCAATCCATAAACTATTAACCCTTTTATTTTATGTTGGTAGGTAGGGCATAAAATGAGAGAAACAATAAATGAGAGAAACAATAACAATATTAATGATGAGTGCATAATATACATATATATGGTCACGAATGGCACGCACACCCGCTGCGCTGTCGTTTCATGGAAATTAAAGGCTATGATTGCTTTTGGTGACCCGGGCCAGATGGAGGTGAATCAGGTTTATCTGGATCGATTTTAATTTGATGGGCGATGTGAATATTCCCTTGCTGCTCATTCCTCCTTCCTCTTTTCTGCCGCAAACAACTAATGTTAACAACTTCACTCTAAATTATTCAATAAAAAGAGGATTAAATTCCACTTTAAATTTTATAATCAATTACACTTTATTTTAGAATTACTAAATTTTACATTATTTTAATTCATTAAAGATTTTAAATTTTTAAAATTGATAAATTTCATTATATCCTAAATTCGATTATTTTAAAAGAAAAAATTTCACATCAAACAAATAGGGAGAATTCTCAATTCTTTCATTTTCTCTATTAACGATGGAATTTGACTACTTGATATTATTTCAAAATACATATTATTTCAAAATACATTTCAGTGCCTATGGTATTTATTTCCCAACCAATCAAATGTAAAATTTATAAATTTTTACATTTACCCTCATCGATGCTATTAATCTCAAAGAATTTCCTTTATAATTTAAATGAATGAAAGAAAGAAAGAAAGAAGGAAAAAGAAACAAAGAGAAATACTCACTTGTTCTGTGGAGTTGGTTTGGTCTTGCAAAGGCAATATCGGAGGTGAACAAAATGAGCAAAAGAATCATACCAGAAACCATAAGGGAGGCCTTGCGAACCATCTTTTGATACGAAGATATATAAAATTCTTTATATATCCTATTAATGTATATACTACAAGTTTGAAGAAATCAATTGTTGGTATGTCATGAAATTTTTTTAAAATTAATTTTCCATTAAACTAAAGGAATTACATCGGAAGATGTCAATAAATTATTAACTTTGAATATTTACACATAAAAATTATAGCTAATTTTATTTAAATATACAATGAATACTCTTAACAAATAATATAATATTCCCTTATTGCATTATACCTCATTATGAAAATCAGTTTTATTATTAAAAAGAGATAGGACGCTTTTGGAATTGTATTCAAATGATAATTATGAAAATCAGTTTTATTATTAAAAAGAGATAGGACGCTTTTGGAATTGTATTCAAATGATATTATAATTAATTAATTAATAGAATTCATATTTTTCTTTTTAAGGAGCGTAAAGGCTACGCCGATATATTTGTTGTTTATTTAAAGTTGATAAAATTTCCATGATAGACTTGAATTTTAGGTCATTTTCTAAAACAAACGGTTTAAATTTAGAAATTAATTTATCACTCTTTTTACTTTATCATTTTTTTCAAAACGTCTATTACACGTTTATTCACTTGCCGTCAATTTTTTTAAATAAGAAAAAAAAGATAATGACTTAGAAGTCTAAACTATAAAATCTTAGTCTCCAATTAATTTAATAATAAGTGATTTAGACGCATACTTAAAAAAAAAAAAAAAAAAAAAAAAAAAAAAAAAAGTAACTGAAGAATTTATTCGAATAAAGAGGGAAAAAATTCTTCATAGAACGAAGTAAACTATGAACTAGCGCAAAAGCGGTATTGTCTTTCTTTCCATCCAAGTTTAAATCAACAAAGGGAATATATATATATATATATATTAGTATTGTCTTTTTATTACAACAAACTAACCAAACAGAAAAATGGCTAAAAAGGTGTCGTATTCATATGCAATCCCTATCGTTCTTTTCCTCATTTTGTTTGCATCTTACAACATTGTTGTTGCTCAAACAACTCCACTCCCCAAAACCTGTAATTGTCTCTCTTCTATATTATGATGAAATTATATATATATGGTGTTTCTTAATAATGACAAGTGCAATTCTTTATTTACTGGTTGCAGATGAAAATAAAGACTGGCTTGCAGATCGAAAATTAAAGACAAGTAAAGGCTTTCTGAATGTTAAAAACTCAAGTTTCCTCCGCGTGATTCAAAGAAAAGTTGGACCTTGGTAACTATTCAGGGAGGGTTCGTAGATGATTTAATCTCCTAATTATGTCTTTATAATTAAGCTCTTTTCTTTGGTGTATGTAAAACTGTTTCTTAACAAGGTGAACTTTTTTCTGTTTTGTTATTTTCAACCTAAAATAAGCTTTTCTCTACTTTTATTTTGAGATTAAGCTTTTCTCTATTTTATTTTGAGATTTATTTTCTTTTTTTTCCTTTAATTAGTACGTAGCAAGGTAAATTTTATTAATCATGAACAAAGAGAGATTAGACCGTGCTATGAAACTTGAATCAGATTCATAATGTTAAAATAAATAAATAAATAAATCATGCAGAAAAAACCCACAAAAGTTATTAACTAAACATCCCACATTCATTAAATCACAACTAAAGCAAAGTATAAGTTGGAAAAAATGTATATTTCTCTCAAGTTTTGACAATTTCCATATTAACCATTTACACACTACTTTTAAAATTGAAAAACCAATTAATTGACAGTAGCTATTTCCTATAATTTATTAATCTATAACATGCAATTTCACTTCGACAACATAAACTAATATTGTTATTTGTTTATAGGAATAGAAGAAAACTAATTTGGCCCCTAAATTTTGTTTAGAGATATTAAAAAAAAAAATCATATTTAACATTTTCAGCTAATTTAATTCCTGAACCTGCATATTTGTTGATAAGATTAAAATAAGTCATATTTGAAATTTTCAACAAATTTAACCTCTGAATTAGTTTAGAATGATTAAATTTAAATCATAATTCTTCACTTGCAATATGAAAATTTTTATATAAACATTTATTAAAATTATAATTTGAATCAGTTCGTATAATTTATTAAAAAAATAATTAAATGTGGATAGAGGAAAAGGAAAAAATAATTAAATTTGAATCACTTGCAATATGACCTTTTTTTAATACTACTAAATAAGTTCAAGGGTCAAATAGGTTTTTATTTCTTGTTGGCGATGTTTAATTAAACAAATAATATATTCGATGATTATAAATCCATAAATTTTAGAAAATTTCCAATTCTATCACAAAAATTATATATGAACAAAGAAACTATTAAGCTTACTTTTGACTGACTGTTGTATACTATAAACTCCAATTTGAAACGCGTACAGTGAGCATTGACCCCTTCCTTCCAAGTTTCAATCAACAAAAATATTATTCTTCCAAGTTCAATCAACAAAAATATATCTATTGCAATTTGACTTCTTACAGGAAAAATTTGCCAATCCAATTCATTCAAATTTGTTTTCAGCTATAACATCGGTCGTTGAAATTGAACGAATGCAACTTTATTAATATTCATTCTCTCTTTATCTATACAGAAACTAAACAAACAGCCAAAAAAAAAACATGGTTAAAAAAACGGCATCGTTTCGTATGCCAATCTCTATCGTCATTTTTGGGCTGGCATCTTATAATATGTTGCTGCTCAAATTAAACACTCCAAGTCTCCAAAACCTGTAATGCGCCTCTCTCCTCTCTCTTAAATTGAGTTCTGACTCATTCTATTTGGAGGATTATATTATTTATATGAAATTGATTGCAATTATAATATATTGAATTGTTAAAAAATATTACTATTTTGGTTGACAAAATATGATTAACTACCATCAAAAAATTAATTTCATTAGAAACATTTATAATTCTTTTTTTTTCTTTGAGAGGATGAGTGAAATTAAAAATTTCTAATATCTATTAAGTAATGCACCCCC